CGTGAAGGCAGAATCGCGTGACCCCGTAACTCCACCTCACAAGGTCAGGTCAGCACACGAATTAACGTTACAGTGTCGCGCGAGCACGTACAGTGGGAAGTTACATTGGGACGTAAGGGTGCCACGTCACACCTCGAGCACGTGATGACATCATAGTGTTGACGTCACGTGACCACGGTTTGCTAAATGGAGCGGTTTAATATCCCATGTCGTTCTGTAACACCTACCCCCCCCCCCCCCCCCCTCACATACGGATTTTCCGGAAGTCGGAGTTTATACGTAGGATCACGATTATTTTTAGAGCGCAGCTCTTAGGGGCCCGTTTCCGGCTTGAGCGGCGTCGGCGTCGCCGTTGGCGTCGCCGTCGGCGTAACCGCAAGGTCACGTGACCCCCCGAGGTCACGTGACACCCCTAGGTCACGTGACACCCCTAGGTCACGTGACCCCCTTAGGTCACGTGACCCCCAAAGGTCACGTGACCCCATGAGGTCACGTGACCCCCTGAAGTCACGCGACCCCCTTGAGGTCACGTGAGCTCAAGGAGTCACCTATCCCTCAGTACGCTTCCATCTTCCTCCTCAAGAGCTGCGCTCTAACCGGCGTTACAGGGAATTGTAAACGGCTTTCATTTTTGTTTCACTTTTCAGTTGGTGCTTTCCGGGGCAGAAATTTCTTCCCGACCAGTGCCACTTATCTGTCTCTCCCTCGTTTTCTTTTTCGTTTGCCACGAAGAAGGCTGTTTCTAAGCGTGAACCGTCATCGATAGCGTGATCCTCATAAGCCCGCCCTAAAATCCGAAATAAACATCGCCCGCACGCGATGCACACATCGGGTGCTATGGTTTCAGGTAGCCGCTTGGCACGCAATTGATTCCAGAAAACACGACGCCAGGCTTGCTGTTAAGCTCCAGAACGCTTCTTAGAGATTTATGAGGAAGAAAGGGGGGGACACGGGGTCTAAAAAGACAGGCAATAAAGGGCCTGGCAACAACAAATTTATTAGAACCATGCATTTTTTGTTTTCTTTATAGAACCTGGAAATATTTTCTTTCTGGTTGCTTTTGGTAATATTATATATAAAAAAAACATATGATAATACCCTTTCTTCAACGGCCCATTTTGATTTCGCGAAAACGACGTACGAATAACTCTGTAATATACAGGGTGTTTATTTTTAGCCATAAAATATGTTCTGTAGAAAAAGCATCGAAAGACGCAAAATCGCAGTCTCTACAGGCAAGTTGTTGCGTTAAGACGGTTTATCAAAACAAATTTGTAAAATCGCCTTTTTGGTTAGTAAATATGAACACGTTCTTTCAATTAGAAACTTGCTGAGCGTCATCCAAAAGCACTAAAGCAGCCAATTGTAATATTCGATGAGTGTGCTTCGTTTCCCTTCATCCCGAAGTTGCACCCAAATTTGAAGCGCTAGCGCTATTCTTTGGCTCCTTATAATCCGTGTTTCGAACCGCCAGCCTTGCGCCTGTTCAGTGATGGAAGCGGCATTTGACTTGTCGTAGCAGGTTTTGTAGTGGGCAAATGTATTGGTTTGGAGCACCCACTGAGGCTTTTGGAGCAGATTCCAAAATCTGTTAGCACATCACTCGAAAATCAGAGTGATTGCATTGATCGTTAATTGATTTTATCTTTGATGGGGTTCGAAGTTTACTTTTTAATGCTCGAGCATATTACTTGCCATATATTTTGTAATAACAATAGATGGGACGCAGAAAAAACATGCAACATTTTTTTTTTTAGAAAAAGAAGGCCCAGGTCAATGCAGGCTCCATTTACAATAAGTATTGAAAAAGGTGTAAAAAATTAAACATATCTCAAGACTTCAGGTGAGATTTCATTTCATTTTTTTTAGTTCAACTTAAGGACCCGGTTAGGGCATTACGTAAGGGGGAATAAAATCTTGGGGGGTCGACGATGGTTACGATAGAAGATGGCGACGTCATGTGACAATCGGTCATTTAACGATCAACGCAATCACTTTTTATTGTCAAATTATGAGCTAACAGATGTTGGAATTTGCTCCAAAAGCGTCAGTGGATGCTACAAACCAATATGTTGCCTGCCCACGAAAGCCCTTCTTCCCTTTCTTCTCTTCTACATCCTGTACTTCATTTAGCCAGCTAGTATGTTTTTGTATTTTTTTTAATGGCAGACCGATCCAGCTAATGCCCTAAAGTACGCATATAAATAAAAAAAAATTGCCCCATTAGTTTTATAAATCTACTAAACTCAAGGGTCTAATAACATGATCTGCACAAACGACCACCCACAAATATTACAAAACCTACAGTTCCGCTTTAAAACTGACAGTTGCGCTTCACCCGCTTCGTAACCAGAAATGTGTCAAAGTTCGCTTCATTTGACTGCTGCGTGGGAACTACCTTGCCTAACGTAATTATGTAAATATAGACCCGCGTTATTTTCCCCTTTCTTGGCACAGCCGCTTTTAGAACTGGACGTCGACCTACAGTCCAGATCAAAAAAGGTCGTAAGGGTACTCGGCACCATTTCCGATCTAATCGCTCAAACCCTTGCGCTTCCCCATGTCAGCCGCTGCTCCGCAGGATGGATGATGGATGAATCCGGCGGAGCCCTTTCGATCGGGCGGTAGCTTACGCCACCTAGCCATTTTTCCTCACACCAGCCGCTCTAACCCGCGCGCACCCTGGTTGTATCGGGGCTTATCATGTACAACGCCTCGCATGACAAGACACTGGTCATGCGCAGTGCGCACGGCGCTATCTGATAAATACCGCCAACGTCCATTAAGCTACGTTCTTGTTGCTGTGCACACGATATTGTCGACTGCCTCTTTATCGTCAATGATACTCTGGTGTGAGGCGCTGAAGGTTGATGGAACCAATCAAACAGCGTCAAAAGCGGGACGTCAAGGCATTCGTCGCCATTTTGTACATGTCCTAGCTTTCATCGACTACATCAAATAAGTGCACCTAATGCCCCGTGCCTTGCGCTTTTAATGTGTGTGTCGATGGTTGTTGTTTGTCGACTGTGTTTCGGCTCTGCTTTTCTTACCTAAGGTGGACCAGTAAATCCAGTAAAGAACTTACTTTTTTTTTATCTTTGCTTCTGCCAGTCTGAATATTATGATGACCGACGAATAATAAAATATTTGCGTTTTATTGATTCGTTTAAGCCTACCTCGGCGTAGGTGTGGCACAATTCTTAGCACAAAGGAACATTTTGGATCGAGATGTAACAGCTTTCCACTCGTGGCGCAAGATGGCGCCAGTGGCGCAGCACTTGCATCACTGCCTGTTCAACGAGTGGTAATTTTAGCGCACAACCGCACTTCTCATGCGCTCCAATGTTTGTTTTCTAAAACTGGCTGGTTTAGCAATTTCGATATCGCTAAGCAAGTTTATTATTGTAGCCATGTTTTATTATTATGTCACCAGTGGACCTATCGTTAAATTACCCAAGCATCAAGGAGATTGCTGATAATGTAAGTACACTCGCAGCATAGTCATTAGTGCTTGGGTAATTTAGCAGAAGGCCTATTAAAAGTTCCGTCTTATTGTGAGAAATAACACCTATATCATGTCAACTTGACCGTACAAGTCGACCGGACCAGACCGCAATAAAGTATCTCTTGCAGTTTTGCTTTTTTTTTTTTATATTTCAAGCTTAAAATGAAACAGTCTGTACATTTTGCATATATGCGTTGTTCAAGTCATCACTCCGAATTAAAAACAGCGTCCGGCCAATGACCAGGCTGACGCCAGTTTTGCCCAAAGGCGTGATCTGCACAGGAACAGTTCACGTTTGGAGCGTCATTCCTATCGGGCACGCGCAGATCAATCAATTTCCTGTCAGGCCAATTTGCGAACCTATTCATTCCTTCGAAGTGCTAGGCAACGCATGTTACAAGAGCTAGTATACGCTAAGGTAATTCCCCGACTGCTAATTTTTAACGTTTTTTTTTTGAAGATTAAAGGGAAGCTGAAGAGGTCCTTTAATTGGATAAAACTGCGAAAGTTTGAATGCATACGTACCTCAGAAATTGTGTGTCTTCGGTTTTCTCTTGGGTGAGAGCGTCGTAATCGTCAATTACTGGACGTCTGCCACGTCCACTAGCACTGTTGTGACACCGACAGGATCAAGACCGGAGACAGCACGAAACTTTTATGACGTCATCAGGCGGAAATCATCGAGGGGACCCCTTTATTGGACGCGGTAAACACACCTAAGGAGATACGTTCCAGGTACCATAGCTATACTTTGTTTAGCGCAGCCAAGAGCAAGCCAAAAAAAAAAAAATAAAGGAGCGCCAAAAAACAAAAACCAAAAAAATACGGCATGCCACGTCGTTGGACATCTTTGTTTGAGTGAGATATCATCGGCTTAACAAATCGAGCACAGTGAATACGCTGTCACTTTGCACTTTTAGTTTGGTTGCAAGCCTTTGAGTATCTTCAAGCAGTCGATTGCGCCGGGGCAAGACGTTCGGGCGGTATATCCTGCACTGGCTGGTAGCAAACAAGACATGGGGTGAGACTTGGGTACATTATTTTGTTAAAAAGAGGTTGGATTGAATCGATATATTTTTTTTTATTACCGCGATGTGAAAGACGGTTATGTAGCTGGCATGTCGAAGACACCATATCCGGTTATTTAGCTCCTTTGGACTACGGAGGCGATGCTATGAGTTGATGGTAGTAATCGAACAACATGAAAAGCACAAGTCACTTGGTCTTTCCTTTGCATTGTTGGCTCAGGGATGACAGATTACATAAAAAAACATTTAAACATCACCATGACGTTGCGCTTTTGACGCCCTTTAATTGGTATGATCAGCTCGTAGACTCGGTTGCGACAAAAATAGCAACGCAAGTCTCGGTCAGCTCATTTTTCTCGTTTCCTACCATCGAGCCGTGAGCAGTCACTAAAACTCGATTACGTCTGCAAGCCGCACTGACTTGCGTTGAAACGCAGCTGAAGAGGCTTTCTCCAAGCAGGGCTTACCTCGAAGACACTTCTCCCTGCTGCTTGACGGAGGCGTCGAAGTGCATGTACGTGTCTTGGCCGTAACTGTCCGCATGGAACACGATCTTCACGTGCGGCGTCTCAGAGATGAACGTCTTGGGCGAGTCGATCTCGCCGCAGTAGAAGCCCGGCGCGTCGCGGTTTGAGTGGTTCGAGTCCCTGTAGCCGTCCACGATCTGCACGTAGCCTCCGTCGCACCTGCAGAGATTCCGAGGTCTGACTGCCACAAGGTCGTAAACAAGTAATGTCTACGGTTCATGGCGGTTGACAGAGTGCTTGCTAAAATGGAAAATAGAAAAAAAGGTATCGTGTTCTTTGTTAAATAAATATCTCTTATAAATATGATCCACCGCTGTGTTTGTAATCCTAAAGAAATCGCTCACAAAACGCAGTTGAGTGTGGTTTGTTGTTCTGATGTACCTTAACAAGATAACATAAAACGTGTCTTGCTACGTAGTGCGTTTTTGAATTATATCTGCTCGGAGCTATTGCGTAGACGATGATTCGTGCATTAATACCGTCGCACCTGGAAATACTTAAAATACTGACAAACACGAGAGCGAAAATCGAGACTTTTAGCTAACCGTACTGTGTTCGGCGTATCCGGACTACAGGTTGAGGCATGCGTCGAAGCTCGCGCGTGAGTGATACCATCACCGCGGGGCGCGCGCTTAAAAGCATGCTTCAAAGGCTCCGGTAGTGCGATACGCGGAACACGGTAACGGTATGCTAAATTCCTAATGACTAAGGTACAACACTTGCCGCTTAAAACAATGCCTGCTCAAATGCATATGGGAAGTAAACCGTCGTGTGTTAAATGCAGTGAATATATCGGAAGAAAAAAATGCGGCGCTGAGTTTCTAATCATCAAGTAATCAGTTGCGAAAAAATATGTAGTGCTTTTCATAGTTTTGCGACAGCATAATTGGATAACTGAAAACTGCACTTGCAACATGAGGAATAACTTAAGTATAATGTACTAACACCTATTACCCAGGCGGTATTTAAGAAATAAGACTAATAACAATAACATGGTTAACGCATTTCAAAGAGTAGCGGTTTCTCTTAAGTATTTGTTGCAAACAGCAAAGAAATTTGAATAAATTTTAGAATGTAAGTTTTTATTCGAGCGTTGTCAATATTGAAAACATTGAAATTGAGAGCATGAAAGGGCCAAATATCAGGGGGGGGGGGGGGGGGGGGGGGCACGTATATGCACACTCTGAAGCACACGGAAGCTGTCTCATACCCGCATTGATACACGCGTGCACACTCTTACCTAACTCTCACCTAACAAGCACGCAGCCGTTTCAGGGGTACACGCATCCGCATAGCAAACACAAACACATACTATACGTACACTGCAGTTCAGCGGTCCTTGGGGAGCCGACACCGAAACACATAATACGTCCACACCAAGCGCCATCATCAAGTTGACCTTGGTCGCACGCACTATTCCTCAGCTCCAATGTTGCGTATTATTTATCCTGTATTCTATCTTTCGCATTTCGGCCACCAGGCGGTACCCGTTTTCACTGCACACTGAGATAAGCTGTAGCTCCCTGCTTGTCTCCACCTCTTTTCCTCCCGGTGGCGTCGCCTCCTCCGGGGTTACTGAAAGAGCCTAGATTTGAGAGAGGGAGATACTCTAACCCTGCAAGTGCGCATGCGTGCGTTATCGCGTGGCGAGGAGGATAGAGGAGGGAAGGGCGGGGACTCCCGCAAATGTTCGACGCCATCTCCTCTTCCTCCCAGCTTGTAATACAAACGCGACCCCTAAACAACATGACCTCGATCGAAAAGTCGGAAACACTCCGAAATCTAGGCACACCCTAAGCAGCACAGATTTTGGCCAAGCAATGGCCACTGGCTGGGGATGGTCTTGTGGCCAGTGGCCAAAGAGTGGCCATTCATTGGCTAATGTTTGGCCGATGGCTGATGGCCAGTGGCCATTGGCCAATGGCCAGAGAAAGGCCAGTCATCGGCCAATCTATGGCAACTGTCTGGCCATTTGACAGAGGACCATTGCCAGCCATTGGCCAATGCTTGGCCAACTCTGTGCTGCTTGGGACGAGGGTTTGTTACTAAACACAGTGGACAGGTGTCGCGAGTCAACGCCCGAAGGGTTCAGCCGTATACGCGTCCGTCCATCAGTTCGTTATTGCGATTTACCCCAGCTTTCTCAAAACTCTTCGTTCAAAATCCGCTCTGCTCACCTCTGCCGGTCTTCCGTGGGCTCCCCGATCCGAAGCCTGGTGAAGCGGACGAAGACGACCCAGTCGTCGCGGGCTGGCCTCACCCGAATTCGGTAGGTGCAGTGCAGCGGACGGCCCTGGTTCCGCTCCGTCACGGGAGGGCTCTCGACGCCCTGGTAGATGTCGACCGTGCGGTTGCAGCGGTCGTCCTCGTCTGGAACCCGGAAAGAGATAGAACCGTTGAGTTACAAACAGCAGACGCAATTTTGTCTATATATACGCTAATACGGCGTTACACACAATCCCATGTTTGCGGGCACGCCGGGTGTGGTTAATGCGCGTGCGCAGAAATAACATTCGCGTGAGAGGAAGCTTCTGCGCATGCGCAGTGCTGACAGCAGCGCCACCGCGGCAGTGTGACGTCAGAGAGTTCACTCGGTGTATACAGCGTGAACCCGGTGACGCTTTCTGAACAGTCGGCGATGTACAATTTAGCACAAAGACGTAATTAGATGGTATTTCGGTTAGGCGCAAGGATGGAAGGGTCCGTTCAATTAAAAATAATATACAAAAAAAAAAAAGGTTATATGCACATGGAGTAAGCCCAATGAGCGTGAAAACATGAAATCGCCTTTTGGGCCACTGATACGTTTGTTGTGACAAACTGGAGGGACAACAGTGCAAGTTAGACTTAACGTGAAGCGTTCTTAGGCTAGGTTCCTAGATTAAGCGAAGCCACAAAGAATCGTAACGGGCTAATCTAACTCTACCTTTAACAAACTCAGATTCTAATTATAACTCTAACTAGCTCTATATCTAACTCTCATCTTAATTCTAACTCTAACCCTAACTAACTCTAGCACTAACTTCCCACAAACTGCACTAAGCACTTGCTTTAGCGCAGCTCCCCACAACCTGCACTAAGCACTAAACATTTGCTTTAGCGCTAGTAGTTTAGCACCACTAGCGCTAAGCCAATAACGTTTCACGTAGTAACACGATTACGGGGCAATTTCCGATACACTTCTATTTCCGTTACCTTCTTCCCATTTTTCTGGCGTAAGAAATGCCAAAATGGCCCATGAGGCGATTGGATGACTTCGCAGAAGAAAAAGACTTTCCTGAATACTCCTGCATAAAAACAATTTTTTTTTTAACTTGGTTGAGATTACATTTTTATATTTGCAAATAGTAAATTCCCCGCCCACGGACATCTCTATAGAAGTAAGTCATAGCACAATACGTGAAAATACCCATGTACGAGGTACACTCTAAAAAAAGCTCGTGAGTCTGATTTCCCGCACAACACTCGGAGAGTCAATCACCGCAATTCACGGAGGCAGCTCAGCGAATGACGATGCCGAAACATATGTTTAGACCAAAAAAACGCAGTCTGAGTTGTGACATTAAGCAATGCAAGCGTGACGTTTTTGCATTGCTTAATATCACAACTCAAACTGCGTTTTTTGGTCTAAACATATGTTTCGGCATCGTCATTCGCTGAGCTGCCTCCGTGAATTGCGGTGATTGGCTCTCCGAGTGTTGTGCGGGAAAGCAGACTCACGAGGTTTTTTTTTAGAGTGATACCTTCAAAGAGTCAACACAGCACCGGGGTAGTACAACGACCGAATTTCGCCAAGTTTTAATTCCTGCTTTACGCCCGTTTACTCCTGACTCAAGACAAAACGCAAAAAAAAAAATATATATAAATAGCATAAGACCAGCATTATCCCGTGGTTGCGCTAAAGTTTTTTTTTACTTTACTGCCTTCCTCGAGTCAGCGTACCATTTTTAAATCTGCGTCTGGATTATTCAGCTCACGCGGCTCTTGAAGGACGCAAGTCGCCATTTACAACGTCTGCGTCTGGTCCAGAGAGGGCGATCGTAAAAGCTCGCAACCTACGTTGAGGCGCGGCGTCGTTGAAATGTACGTCTTTAAACAAAAGAACGAAAAGGTTGCGAGCATCACGCTGTTTTAACGGAGCGACGGAAAAATGCCTCGGGTGTATTTTGCGGCAGAAGCGTCATCATGCGACTTCAAGCTTCCTGCCTTGTTGCTCGGCGACGCTAGACAAAACGTGGATGTCTGTTTTCGTCACTCGAGAGACATGTTTCGCCCTCTCTTATAAGTTTAATAGCGTTCTTTTATCACTTGCGCCGGTTTTCTTTCTTTCGTCACGGATGATGATGATGCAATAAATGTTATTTTTGCTATCCAAATACGGTCCTATAATTTAGTGTAGAAGCTAGGGAATCATTGCGAAATTTGAAATAGCGACACTCTACTCAAAGTTGAGCAAGCTCAAGAAGAAAGCCCAAGGGTAGCTTCTTAAGCGCGAAACACATGTACGACGAAACCGTCCGATCCGACGTGCGGACTGTCGGAATGACCTCCGGTGGCGAGGGTGTTCGTAGCACTGGACAGCGTCGAAAATCCTCGCCTCCCACCGTCGTATTGCCTGATCGGACGTCGGATCGGACGGTTTCGTCGTACACGTGTTTCCCGCTTTACACGGAGCGGACGTTTCGCAAGAAGATTTGGCTTCAGGAGTGGGCTGAAAGCCAATGTTCTCATGCTTTAAATATCACTTTAAAGCCTATTTACCTATGAACAATGTTTCTGCCTTAAACCGTACACTGAAAGTTTTGGTGCCACAAAACAAGCGGTTCGTCACTTTTCCAACGAAAGGAACACTGTATCCAAATTTCAAAATAGTCAATCTTAAAATAGCCTTGTCAAGTTAGTAGTAAAAATATAACCACTCGAACTAACTAACGATTTCACTTAGACAAACTACCATCATGTGAGATACGTGTATATCGTATAAAAGTAAAACTCCAGATAAAATGTCTTGACTAATTTTTGCTTGAGAGAAAAAAGTAAAAGAATACCCCTTAGTGACGTAATTCTTGGATAGTGCTTCGAATAGCTCGGCGTGATATCACCCCTGGTGCTCAGTAACAATAAAATCAGATCTACCGACGGTCTCAGTCCCTGAATCTTCTGCAAACAAGGTCACCTCAACAGTTGCGGGACAATAACATTGCCAAACTTCCGAAAGATGAGTGCTCTGAGCTGTCAGATATCCCGCAATCGCTGAAACGTATTGTCCGACTGGGCCACATTCGGCACACGCGGAGTAATACTTCAGGTCGAAGGTGCAGAAGAAACCGAATGGTGCCGCTACCTTTGACTTATTTCAGCCCGCCCCTTCCGTTGTGTTTTTAGGGCTTGTCTTTATTCTCCTTTCGTCCACGTAGTCATAGCCCACGAAGACAAGTTTTCCGACCGATGCTACGAAGATCTCCAACCATCTCGCAGTTACATCGCCGGTCCACTACCACACCTCCCTAGTCCCCCCCCCCCCCCCCCCCCCCCAAAAAAAAAAAAAAAAAAAGAAACTCGTTTGGAGGACGGACGACCCCTCCGTTACACACGCAATGACGCCACCAGAATCAAAAACAAAAGAGAACAAAAAGCAAAAGAGCACAACGGCAACGACAAGGAATCGAGAAGTCGGCCTCGGGAACCTAGGAGATCACGACGCCAGAAATGGGGAGGCAGAGAAACCCAAGACAACCCTGGCCCGGCGCAGATAACAAGGAGCAGTATAGTGAACCCGAGACTCCCGCTATGAGGACCCGTCCTTTCCCGAAAATCCAGCTGGGGTAATTGATGCTTATAGGCGGGACGATGCAGTACTTCCCCACGCTCTGTCTCTACATACTCTCTGGCATTCCCTCCTTCTCCCCAGCGGGAGATTTTCCTCCGGTGGATCTTCCCTGTGGGGAAGATCCATTCAATGGGGAAGCATCCCCAATGAAGGGTGCAAGCGGCAGGAAAAGAGGAACGATAGGGGAAGACGGAAGGAGAGGGCGGCGGGAAGGGGGCGTAGGTCTAATATCGGCAGTCTTTCTGGAGATTGTCGACGATGTCCTTGGGAACAAATCGAGCGAGACTCCAGTCATTGTTGTTCCAATGGTCGACTCCCGGAGGGTGAGGTGGGGACCTGCACTGGCACGCCTCGGCGCAGGGAGGGGACACCGGTTCGCATTCCTGTTTTGGGGGACTCGGCTATGGCGGAATCGATCTGCGATCTCATCGGGTCAACGCTGTCAAGGGAGCGTAAGCTACGAGCGCGAGCTGAGAGCTTCCAAGGAGCGTCTTTGGGGCGAGCTCAAAATCGAAGGAATCGAACGGCAGCACCGAGTGTATGCTGAGAGGGTACTTTCTTGCTTCGACTAAGTTTTGATCAAAGACTCTTAGCTTGTGACGAACTTACACTCCAGGACAAGCTCAGGGAGCCTATGGTTTGGCTTGTTGTCTTCTCACTACTTCCGCCCTGATTGTTTTCTTTTTTCGCCATCTTGTCGGAAATGCCGCAACCTCATTGGTTGAGGTTTCATAATAAGATGCTCGAAATCCCCCCGCCCTGCGTTGCTTACGTTGTCAGTGAATATAATGCAGAGAGCAAGTCGTCTGCTTCTTGCGCAGGAGTTGCTGTGACGTCAGAACGACGCCGAGCTCTTATTGGCTCTGATTGAACGATTGTGGGTAGACCTCAAATCAAGCTGCCTTGAGGTCTACCCACTATCCTTCATTCCGAACCAATCAGAGCTCGACATTTTGACGTCACCACGACCCCTGCAGAAAAAGCAGACGAACTTACGCTCCGCAGTATATCTTAGGGAGATTGGCTGTCAGCTTGTGGTTTCGAGGAGGTTCTTTGTTTCAGATTCCAGGAGCATTGTTTTTGGGGGTATCTTAAAGAAACGCAAACTTGGCTGATCAGTGCATCTGACGCATTCATGTTTTTGAGGATCCATCTTTTGAAGAAAGAGAGCATGCCAATCCTATTCTTGGTGTGATGAGATAGCCATGAGAGATACAACGGCTTGTGTAGTAAAGAAAGAAGTTCAAGCGAGTCAGCATTCCGAGAATAGCAAGAGACCTTGGACAGTTGGATTTTCCGGATAATTTTTGTTTTCTTTTCGCAAAAAGTACCCGGTTTCCCATTACATTGATCGACGCTTAGTAGATCGTTCCGATACCGCCGATACCGTTAATAGAAGGTTTTAGTAGATCGTTCTGATACCTCCGATACTCCCGATGTATATACGATGCATGCGCAAAGGGGGCGGCGGATTGTAGGCTATCGTTATCGGAGTCACTGGAAAGGTCTACTAAAAGTCTCTAATAATGATACCCGATAACGATTTGTTGCATGTACAGAAACGCCGGTTGAACCCTGGGTATCGTCATTGGAGCCATTGAAACGATTTACTAAAACCCTCAATTGTGAAATACCGGGAAGTAAAAGTGGTTTTCTGTCTGTATATGCTCGTTGTGTTAAATCAAAAGAAAACATCTTCCGCAAAAGCTTTTAGATTTAAACATGTTGCATTTTCCTCTAACAATCTTTGAGATCTAAGCAATGAGCTTTTAGCTGACTTTTAGAATTGAAAACACGAGTAGCCAGAAAGAGTTATATATTCCTTTATGAAACAAAGTATTTTTTTCTTCTTTATTTTAGCCGTTTCCGCATGAACGATGCTTCACGGATCTGCAACGCAGATTACATGTCAGCCGATTCAATCTCGAGCTTAAAAGCAATAACCTAAAAAGAAGATTAATGATAAAAAGCAACAAAGAGTGCATAAAATGTTTGCATTGTTATTTTTCTTCTTTTCCTCGTATTTTTTAGATCGGAAACCGCCACCAAATTGTGGGGACTAGTATTAAATATGGCTACAAATAAAAAGAGCCGTGTTTGTGTCCCGTTACTTATAATTTTAAAATTACGTGCATCTTTTAGTATCCATTAAGATTGGACAAACACTTCAGAAACTTAGGCACACTTCTATTGTGCACCACGCGAAATATTGACGAGAACAAATCAAGGTACTGTATACCTTACGTAATAGTGAATATGGTCACATGCGAATCAGTATGGTTTGAATTATCTAGTTCATAAGGTGGCAGAGCTGCCACCAGGGTCACATGATTTCTCTCTCGTGCTTGATCCATTGCGTCAGTATTCGATGTTTTTATGCGTGTAAAGACTGCATTTGGTGTTCGTTGCTTGTAAACTTGCCGCTCGTAGAAAAAATATCTCTAGAGCGCTACTAAGATCTAGTGCATGCTGCTCTCATCGTGCCACTGACAATAGTTTTATTTATGTCTTTGTTTAATCCCGTCTCGGCCGTGTACGCAGCGATGCCTTCGAGGTGTTCGATGCGTCCCCGTCGTCCGCGGTGCTCCGTGGCATTTTTCACGCTCTCTAACCCAGAGACGCGATCTCGACGCCTCCTCCCCCGGGTTCCACGCCGGGGGGCTTCGAAGTCCCCCCAATAATTTCCCTCGGCTAATTAGTCACTTGATTGAGCACCTGTCTCGTTCGCTTATCGCCCGGAACGTTCGATATGCGGGGCTGCCCAAGAGTCTACGCTAGGTGGCGCTAGGCGCCGCACGATTAAAGGGGTTCAGTCCTATGCATCTATCCGTTCATCCACGGGGTCGTGAATGCGATGACGGTGTTCCTTTTAAATGGCCAGCGTCTCCCAAAGAAATAACTCGGCTGTCGAATTTTGACGATGAAGCTTTAATTACTAGTACACGATTGCAAGCTGCCATCCTTCGTTGGGGCGAACCCGGCGAGGTTCAATTTCAACTAGGTTCGACTTACCTTCTATTACAAAATATAACTAAAGTGTGACTGAAGTTTGATTTCTGTGGAACTGTGAGAGAATTGAAAACCAACTAACGCAACCTGGCGGAGAGAAAGTACAATATTTATTAGGTGCATAATACAGGTAATAAATGTTGCACTTACCGTATATTGTTTTATT